CTCCTAAGTGTTTTTTTTTCTCTGACAAAGTGACAATCAATCTCAATGTGTTTAGTCCTCTCATGAAACATCGAATTTGACGCAATATGGAGAGCAGCTTGATTATCTCACACCAGTTCTATCTTGCTGATTTCTCCGAACTTCAACTCCTTGAGCAACTGCTTGACCCAAACTAGCTCACACGTTGCCATAACCATGGCCCGATATTTGGCTTCGTTGTTAGACCGAGCAACTACATTCTGTTTCTTGCTCTTCCAAGAGACCAAATTACCTCCTACTATAACACAATATCCAGACGTAAAACATATATCAGAAGGTGATCCTGCCCAATCAGCATCTGTGTACCCAACAATCTGCTCGTGGCCTCGATCCTCGAATAGTAACCTTTTGCGTGGGGCTGACTTTATATACCAAAGAATGCGAACAACTGCATCCCAATGACTATCATAGGGAGAATCCATAAACTGACTTACAACACTCACCGGAAAAGAAATGGCAAGTCTAGTCACTGTGAGGTAATTCAATTTGCGAACCAACCTCTTATATCTCGTTGGATCTCTAAGAGGCTCCCCTGTCAAGACAGAAGCTTAGTATTCGGATCTATAGGAGTATCAACAGGTCTGCAGCCCATCATTCCAGCCTCCTCAAGAATGTCTAAGGCATACTTCTGTTGTGAAATAACAATACCCGAGCTAGACTGAGCGACCTCAATACCTAGAAAATACTTTAATCTACCCAGATCCTTAGTTTGGAAGTGCTGAAAGAGATGCTGCTTCAGATTAGTAATACCATCTTGATCATTGCCAGTAATAACAATATCATCAACATAAACCACTAGATAAATACACAGATTAGGAGCAAAATGTCGATAAAATATAGAATGATCAGCTTCACTACAAGTCATGCCGAACTCCTGAATAACTGTGCTGAACTTACCAAACCAAGCTCGAGGGGACTGTATCAAACCATATAGTGACCTGCGCAATCGGCATACAAGACCAATAGACTCCCCTTGAGTAACAAGACCAGGTGGTTGCTCTACATAAACTTCTTCCTCAAGATCACCATGAAGAAAAACGTTCTTAATGTCTAACTGATAAAGAAGACAATGACGTACAACAGTCATGGACAAAAAGAGACGAACAAATGCTACTTTAGCTACTGGAGATAAAGTGTCACTATAATCAAGCCCAAAGATATGAGGGTATCCTTTTGCAACCAGACAAGCCTTAAGCTGATCAACCTGGCCATCCGGGCCGACTTTGACTACATAAACCCGATGATAACCAACAATAGACTTACCTGAAGGAAGAGGAACAAGCTCCCAAGTGTCACTCGTATGTAAAGCAGACATCTCTTCAATCATAGCATGACGCCATCCTGGATGAGATAGTGCCTCACCTGTAGACTTAGGAATAGAAACAGTGGACAAAGATGATATAAAAACATAATGAGGTGATGACAAACGATGATAACTTAAACCGACATAATGGGGATTAAGATTAAGTGTGGATCGTACACCTTTGTAGAGTGCAATTGGTTGACTAAGAGGAGACAAGTCCACAGTATGTGCAAAATCAGATGCACGTGAATCACCTGGGCTTGATGCTGGACGTGGATGATGATGATAAGTCAAGAGTGGTGGAGCTGCAGAAGGTTGAACTGGACTAGGTGGTGGAACTGGTGCTATAGGTGGTGGAGCTTCAACTGGAGTTGTAGGTGGTGAAGTTGCAACTAGAGTTATAGGTGGTGGAGCTGGAGTTGTAAAGGAAGATGAATCGGAGATAGTGACTGAATCTCCAAAAGATGAAACTGGTAACACTTCAGAAATATCTAAGTGATTACCTAGACCTATGAAGTACGATTGAGTTTCAAAAAAGGTAACATCAGTGGACATAAGATACCGCTGGAGGTTAGGAGAATAGCATCAATACCCCTTTTGCGTTCTCGAGTAACCTAAAAATGCGCACTTAAGAGCCCGAAGAGCTAACTTATCTTTTCCTGGAGTAAGGTTATGAACAAAACACGTGCTTTCAAAGACACGGGGTGAAAAAGAGAACAAAGGTCACTGGGGAAACAGGACATAGAATGGAACTTGATTCTGGATAGCTGAAGATGGCATACGATTAATAAGATAACAAGATGTAAGAACCGCATCCCCCAAAAACGCAACGGAACATAAGATTGTATGAGTAGCGTACGAGCAGTTTCAATTAGATGTCTATTCTTTCTTGTAGCTACCCCATTTTGTTGAGATGTGTACCAATAAGACGTTTGATGAATAATCCCATGAGAGTTCATAAACTGCTGAATTGGGGAACACAAATACTCTAGGGCATTATCAATACGAAATGTGCGAATAGAATCCCCAAATTGATTTTGAATTTCAGCGTGGAAAGTCTGGAAAATAGAAAACACTCAGACCGATTTTTTATCAAAAATATCCAAGTGCACCTGGAATAAAGCAGAAATTTTCTGAAATCACTGTTCACGTCGGAAAATCACTATTCACGCCGGACAAATATAAAAGTGGTCGTAATTTGATTTAAAATGGATGGGTAGGCTCGGATTTGCGAGGAGAAGACACTGTCCTGAAGAAGTTTTTCCAAAATCTGGGCGGAAACAGCCTCACGCGCCGGCGCGTGGGCGTCGGAACTTCGCCGGAAAATTTCTTCCTGCGGTGCGTGGGGGATCTTTTGACGGAGATTTTTTTGGGTTGGTCACCGGAGGCCGATCTACTTCGTGGTGGTATTGATTTTTGCACAACACCGACGAAAAGTGACTTTTTACTTGTGGCAGACCTGTGTTTGCCGGAAAAAGACCTTCGGTTGATTGATTTTTTTCTTCCCGGAGTCTCTGGAATTTATGCACAACGATAAATCCCTCACAATTGCTTTGATACAATGTGAGAAAGCACGAGATAAAATATTATTATTAATTACTTAATTAAAATATTGTACAACCCTATTTATATATAGTGATTACATAATACTCCCTTTGTTCTAGTTTATGTGAACCTATTTTTTTTTTTGGTCCGTTCAAAAAAGAATGACCCTTTTCTAAATTTGGTAGCAATTAAGCTTAAACTTATAATTCTACCCTTAATGAGAAGCTTTTATAGTCACACAAATACTCTGGGCCCCTTTTTGAGTTGTTTAGGACCACAGATTCCAAAAGTTTTCATTTTATCTTAAACTATGTGCCCAGTCAAATAGGTTCACATAAATTGGAACGGAGGGAGTAATATTTATCTACTTCCCGATGTGGGACACTTATACATGACTAACTACTTAACAGAAAGTCTACCAAGCTGTATAGAGAACCTGGTTCTCTATCAGTTGGTAAGTAAATAACACAACAGTATTTTACGTGGAAAACTCCCAACTTACGGGATTAAAAATCACGACCTACACTCGTAGGATTTCAACATCACTAACCGAGCAACTTTAGATTACAACCTATTGTGACCTAGGAATTAAACTCTTAATCTCTCACCTACTTGCAATAACTCTATAGCAAGCCTCTTTATAATAACTCTATTAAGCTCACCACTGACTAACTCTAGCCAAACACAAATACATGGTTTGCGATTTACAGAAGATATCCTACAAGATGTTTCTAACCAAGCTGGGACACACGATAAACTCAGTGTTAGGATCTGGTCCTTTGCTTTGTTGCTACTTTGTTCTTCAAGCCTTGGAGTCAATGAATGCGGCAACATAATTGAGAGAGACTTAATGATTTAGGGTTTACAAGTGTGTGTTTTCCCTTGCCTCATATTGGTAATTTATGAGTGAGGTCATTGGGATGATGTAAGCAAGTATCCGGTACAAGGCATGTTCCATAAAGTGACTGCTGCACTGTTGCATGTGCAGTGCAACATCGCAACGACTTTAACAGATGTAAAGAGTTGACTCGTGCTGTTACCAGAGGAACTGATAGCCATCTGTTTCCTCTGCCGTTTCTTTGACTAATAATATTGGAACTCGTGCCACACATGTGACTTGTTGTTCTGAGCACTTTGAGGCTGTATAACAGGTTCCCTATCTGGTTCTTATATGAAATTTGTTAAATCATTAAAATACAAAGGCAAATAACTTATCATCATGCTTCAAGTAAAAATGATAAGTATTAGCAGAAGCAATACGGTAGCACATCATACCCCACATTATAATGGGAAATAATATTAATAAAATTTAATAAACATATGCAGTTAATATGGACTCAAGTAAAAAGATCTAATTAAGCTGCTAGCCGCCAGGAATCTTTTTCGAATTGGCAACGTCAACGCAGACAGGTTTGGATTAAACAAGTTCGATGAGTTTAAATAAATCAATAAAAATGGCGTCTACTTTGTACTTCTTGCACCAAAAAGACAAAAAAAAAGAAATTCTTATTGCATCTGGCTTTGATTGCAATATAATAACCAGTAGTTACCAACATAAAAGCTTGATAATAGTTTTGTAGTGTGCAGATAACGCTTGTGTCTCCCGACTTGACAAGAAAATGTTTTTTTGTTATAAAAGGAATAGCATGCAGTTGATGCAAGCTGGAATATTAATATGAGAGCATATGCGAAAATTGTAACAAATTTATTTAATAACTTAGAATGGAAATCAGATTGGTTTTCAACTCTCACCTAATTGGTAATTAAAACTTAGAAACTTGTATATTTATATTTCTTGTTCAGTGTTCTTTTCCTTGCAATTGATACCAGGTTTAGAGAAGTGTAGGTTCCTTCTTTTAGTCTTAGCATGCGGCTATACCTTTGGATTTTATGTAAATATACGTATGTTATACACATTATTTTTTTGATTACTGGTATACATTTGTTTCAAGGAGGGTATTTCAATTTTGAACATTCTTTTTCAGTGGGTATTTCAAGGAGCATTCAAAGTCTATTCTTTTTACCAATAAGAAATATAATACTATATATTACCTTATACACAGTATAATTATTGGCGAAGGATGTCCAGTTGACCACCCTTGATCATACATAGCTTCGCCCCAAGCACCAGCGGCTGTTCTATCAAAGTAATTGATCTCTTCATACAAATTAGGAAGTAAAACCGATAAACATTTCATTTTCATTTCATTCCCTGAGTTGGATACCTCCTCCAAAAAATATTTTTGATACGATCCGCAGGAATTAAATCCTAGCTAGGTAGAATACGAAAGCTCATCTATAAAAATATATTAATTTGTGACCCGAGATTGGAGGATAGCTCACGTGGTCTGAGCAGGAGCGGAGCTAGAGTATGGAACGCGGGTTCGGACGAACCCAGTAGCTTTTGTTCAGACTTTATATTTTGTCTTAAGAAATTCTAAACAAATTATTAATTTAGAACCCAATAACTTACAATGATTACAATATCGAACCCACATGCTTCAAATTCTGGCCCCGTCTCTGGGCATGAGCTCCTTATCCTTCACCGTGTGGTGACGGGAAAAAATCGTTTTGAGACCTTGGAGATAATGCTGTTGGCTGTTGGAAGGAGAACTAGTCAAAGCATGTGAAGATCATTGAAAGAGGAGACTTATATAGGGATCATCTAATTGTATTTGTTTTTGTGGACAAAAACCTTAAAACCACCAGCCATATGAGCTGTTAGGAGTGGCAGAAAAACAGGAGGATCTGAACAAGCTGGTCTGATCTGGAAACGCTTTAATATTGAAGCTACAACATACTTCATTTGAATAAATGCCAATTCTTTCCCAAGGCAAACTCTTGGACCTGCTTGAAAAACAGGAAACTTGTACAAAATTGATATCTGCTCTGTTCCTTCTTCCCCTGATTCCTCCATCCATCTCCTTGGTTTAAACTCGAATCGATCCTTTCCCCACAAATTTTCCATCCTCCCCATTCCATAAGGGAAGTATGTCACTCTATTCCCAGCTTTAATACGAGTTCCATCGGGCAAAATATCATCAGAAATCGCATGTTTTGAATCCCATGCAACTGGTGGATAGAGTCTCATTGTCTCACAAAGGCAAGATTTCAAGAAATTCATTTCTTTCAATATCTCATACTTGGTTAGTGTTTCAGTTTCTATAAACCTCAGCTCTTTGGAAACCAATTCATTTTCTATCTCAGGATGAAGCGAAAGTAGATAAAAGAACCAAGTCATTGCCGCTGATGTTGTGTCTCTTCCTGCCATAATGAAACTTATCACCATATCTCTGACTTCCTCCTCATCAAAATTTTCTGCCAATATCATTCTTGAAAGAAGATCTTTATTGGTCTCTTTCTGGTTTTCGTCTTTGATTTTAATCTTTCTCTCGCGGATGATATCATTGATTGATGAATGGATTTGATCAATGGCTAGTTTAAGCTGTTTTTCAGATCCAATATTTAACCATCTTTTCACCTTCCATACAAAAAAAATTGGTGCAGCTCCTCTCTGAGCAGATATCTGTGAAGCCCTTTCAAAAGCGTCTAGTAAAGGCGAAAATGAAAGAGATTCATTGATGCAACATGGATCAAACCCTAAAGAAACTTTACAAACCACATCAAATGCAAGTCGTCTTAACAAATCTTGAAAGTTAAATGCTCTATTTTCAGCCTCCATTAATTCCAGTATAGGCAACAACTTGTTCTCCACCTCTTCTTTGAGAGCATTCACAACGTAATCTCTCAAAGACCTGGCAGTAAACTCATGGCTGACCATCTTGCGTTGTTTGTACCACATTTCACCATCCACATCGAATATTCCATTTCCAAGAAAATCACCAAGAATTTCATTGAATGGCTTGCCTTTAGGAAAATTGTCAAAGTTGGTTTTGAGCATGTATTCTACATTATATGGATTAGCTGTTACTATAGTTCTCCGCGCTCCTAATCTATCTATCACAATTGTTTGAGTTGGAGACTTAGAGAGAAGATGAGTATACCAATCTAGTAGTCGATATCGGTTCTTGTAAAAAGGAATTAAACAACCTATGATAGGGTAAGTTGGGGGTCCAGCAACGTCTCTAGGACGTTGCTGGAGTTGTACAACAATGACATATGATAGATACAGAATTACAGTTAGAGAAAGGAATGGAAGAATGAAAGGGTATATGGTGAAGAGGGAGAAGAAGGTAACCATGTCTTTCAATATTTTAAAACAATGAAAACTGTCAACGTATATGTACATATATATAGGTAATAAAATAGATGGTTTCATATTAAAATATTTATATACGCACATGTATAAATAATACAATAGCTGTGATTGATCTGTCCTTAGGATATATATTAAAAACTCAGAGTAGGTGGTTCTAAGTCTTTGCTTGATGCTTTTCTTTGAAGCATTATATTGTTATTGGTACCTACATGTTGATACATTTATCCATTTTGATGGCGGTTTTCATGCAGCAAACTATAAATATTATTATCTTTTCAGTTTCCCTCCCGAAAAAACAAAGATATATTAAGGGTGGGAATTTCTAACGTCGATGGGGGTTATGTTATTCAACTTTTAAAAGTCAGTTGCTCAAGAAAGATAATATAATAAATGAAGTAATAAAATTCATATTAGTTGCTCAAAAAAGGATAAAATAATAAAGAAATTAAACTAAAAATGGCCGGACATATTTTTTGTTTACTTTTTCTAGCCATATACATAGTTTATACATTCATTATACATAATTATCCATATATAATATATAAGTTATGCATATATTATACCTCCACCGGCTATTTTTAGTGCAAGTGGTTGAGTGGACGACTATTTGAGTGAACCTAAATAGCCGTTCATCTAACCACTTAAACTAAAAATAGCAGGTGGAGGTATAATATATGCATAATTTATGTATTAAATGTGTATAATTGTATATAATTAATGTATAATATCTATGTATATGGCTAGAAAAAGTAAACAATACATATGGACGACTATTTGTGTAAAGATCCCGGAGGAATACTATTTTATTAGAGGGAATTGACCTATATATTCACTGTATCCAGAGCGACAATATTTCTTTATTACCATGATTTTCTTACGGAAATATTCAGGCAACAAGCGTTTGTACTTTTTTGTATTTAATAAATAAAATAATGAGACAAAACACTCGTGATAGCTACGTTGCATGTTGTAAAGCACATATATTTTATCTCCAAATTGTTATACCTTGTTTGTTGAGGGAGGAAAGGAAAAAAAAAAAAAGGAAGGAGAATGAAAGCAAAAGAAAAGGTCGAGGGAGCTAGTAATTAAATAGACTTATATTCTTTGTTTGGATTGTAAACAAAATGAAAGGGATCCCCCGAGACATCAACTAGCATCTAGACCAAAAGAACTAATACTATAAACTATTTGATGTATATTACTCTTAAGAAAATGCCTTGTGATATCTGTGTAAGGTAGCACGTAGTATAAAGTGATATTCCGATCAGATGCGGATCTAAGATTTTTATAATGTAGGTGTTGCACTACTAAAGAAAGGAGAAAAAAGAAAGTATTAAGTGAGAATTGATCACTGCTCCTCTAGGTAAATAACTAAGCATTCAACCAAGTGCATCACTTAGCCTCTTTAGAGCATGACTGCCAGCAGATAATATTAAATTAATTTTAATAAATATATACATAAAATATCTAATTTGGAAGATCATAGATTCACGTACCCATAAAATAGGCTATAAATCCACTCCTGATTCTGGCCCTCAAGCAGAAATCCTTGCAAAAACTTATACTATAGTGACCAAGAATTTAAGCCAAGCTATTGGATTTGACCGAAGCTCGTAACTCATACTCTAGCTCTACCCCTTCCTCCCAACAGAATATTAAAAAAAAAAACTGCCTAGATGGTTCAGTGAGCCAGTTATTCAGTAGCTACTTGATAGATACGGGACAAAGACTTAAAGAGAGTGACAAAAGAATAAGCCGCAGTTGACATTTGCCATGATTGAGGGTACAAATTGACATGGTTATGACTCAACCACACAGATGGCATTATTTATTATCCTCTTGTAGGTAATGTCTCTAATGCAGTGGCGGACCCAAGATTTTGTGCAAGCGAATTTAATTTTAGAAGTATATAATTTTAGTCGTAAAATAGTAGTTGTCAAGTGAGTTCAAATAAAATATTTATTTAAAATTTATGCAGTTTTAATCGTAATTTATATATATATACAGTATTATTTTTTAATGATGAACCCGCTCACCACCACTTGCGTCCCTGCTCTAATGTCCCTGTCCATCCACAGCCAAAAGTAGTATGTATTGATGAAGTATAAAAGACAAATGGCATTGTTTGCTTCCTTTTAAGGCAATGTCTCTGCCCCATACACACAGCCAAAAGTAGTTATATATTGATGAAGACTATAAAAGGCAGGCATGCAAAAGATAAGATTCACATTCAATCATGAGGCCGAGGGATAAATCCAACGGTTAGGGTGATCGACAAAGACTGTTTTTGGGGCCATAACTTATCCTGCTTTCTGCTCTTCAATAGAGACATGTGATGGCATGCTCATTGCTTGGTGGGGAGACAAAAACGAAGGCAGTCGGCTTAGGATGACCAACCATTCAATTAGTCTACATCTATCCTTAACAATGACATTTTTTTTATTGTTCGAGTTAATTTGCGCACACCTCAATTAAATTTATAAAATATATAATTTTATACATCAAAATTTGGATAGATAACAACAATGTCTATAATTAGTCAAATAAGTTTGTTGTCCGTCTAAGAAGACAATCAACTAACGTTTAACACGACTATATGAAATATATTTACTTTTTGGTTTAGGCTCATTTTATTTCAATACTAAATACATTTAATTTTTAAAGTATGTTAACAAATCCCTAAAATTAGAGGTTCTTTGAACTCACACTAACTGCATAACTCTTTAAACAAGAATAAAAGATTGCCATCAAACACTGATCCTTATGTGAGAGTATCAACAGCAATTAAACTTTAATGCTAGTAAGTTTGTGGCACCTATATGAATCATTCACTTCATTGCATTTTTTTCCACTAAAAGTTGCATTTGATTTGAGAAATATTATAGTATTGTTTGATCAAAAGATATTGAAATCTTTTTGATTAAATCAATTAATAAGATGAAGAGGTAAATCTTAATCAAACATATTAAAATTCCAGATCTATAATCAAATCAGAAAATGATACGTAAGATGAAATAGAAGCAATAAATTGTTGAAATTCTTCATTTCTTCTTTCACCAACCGGTGAAGATGACTGTTGTACATAATCAATGGAAGATTGTTCTGCTTTCTTTTCACAAGGAAGATTACGGAGGAGAGAGAAGAAAGAGAAGCCCCCTCCTTTCTAGGAAGATCTCTTCCCTATGTATATAGTCATGGAGTCCTCACTATGTTTTTGGGCCATAGCCGCTTCATACCGCGTCCGTTTTCGTTGTTCTGTGAATACGCGGTTTGGAATAAGTCATGGCGTCTTTCCTTATCCCGCCGTTTGGACGTGGTCCTTATTGGGTCGACCACAACGATCAGATTTTGACCAATACAGTTAGTCCCTCCGTCTGTCGGGGTCGTCTCTCGTCGGCCCGGTAGACAGATTATGATTTTCGCTTATCCAAGAGAAATTGACTATCCACCTTTTGGGTATGATTTTTAGATTCAAGTAGCATAACGACACCCTTTCGATATATCCGAATCGTTGCGGCCGTTTCGAAACCGAAACATCGTTTAACTTGAAACGTTGTTCATGGTTATCGCCATTATGACACACGTTCCCAGGGGATTGAACCGTTTCATGTCCCATCGGCTTCGATTGGCGACTCTTGGGTTTCGTGCTTGGGGAATTTATGTCTCTTATAATAGAAGGAACGCACTATTCGAGTGACACACTTCCTTGCCTTTGCTTGAAAGAACTTTGTGAATCTTCTTTTCTCTTGATACTTCGGATTTTTGATTTTCTCCGGTTAGCCATGAACTTTCATCTTTCCCTTTCTTTATCCCTTTGCTTTATCAAACTGATATAAATGGCTGGTGATTCTTCTCGCGCTGACATCTCCGCCACACTTCCTGCGCCGAAAAGTGATATTCTGGCCATTGGAGGAGTAAAAGTGGTAGAAGATGAGGAGGTCCCGTCGGTGGCTGAGATATTGCCTCGTTCTGGGAAAGCATGGAATGATTTCCACAGTCCCGCCGGGGAGGAACCGGAACCTGCTTCCTCCGTCATAAATGAGGAGGGGATTGCAGACTTGAAGGCTAGGTGGGGAATTCCTCACTACGTCGAAATACTGCCGGCGATGGGGAACGACATAGTCCATTTTGACCGTCTAGGGTATTGCGCGTTCTACGCTTACCCTTTTATTATTGGGTATACGCTCCCTTTCCCTCTCTTGGTGGTAGATTTTTGCCGCTTTTATGAGGTATGCCCGGCTCAACTTACGCCGTATATGTACAAATTATTCCTCATGCTGCTCAAGTTTTTGGAGCTTACCGGTCGTGAGATCACTTTGGGGCACATGCTCAATATCTTCTCCCCTCAACTCATTCGTGGAACGATGGTTCACATGCGCCACCGAGGGTCGAAAAGCTTGGTGGTGAAGATGGACGACAGAGCCAACCGCCGCTTCTACGAGAATTATTTTTATGTGCGGACCGAGCATCTTGTGGCGGATCCTACGGGGTTTCCTGAGAAATGGAACTTCGCACGTAAGTCCCTATACTTTTGGTCGGAATGATACCCGACTGCTTTCCTTTGGGTAGTACTAAACTGTTTATATTTTTATAGCCGCGAAACTGCCTCCTGCACCCGTTGATGTTATCCGCGAGTGGGTGAACGCTATCCTTCCTCATATGGTGGGGGTCCGTGCATGGTCGTCCTTCCATGAGAAATATGGATTGAAGCCCCTTACTGGTGAGTGATATCATTTTTGTTCGTTGTTCTTCCCCCTTCCCTTTTTTGCTTCGTTTCTTATGTGATGTTCGTCGATGTCGGGGAGAGTGTGGAGAGCGAGGGCTCCTCCGCTAGCTTTTCGTCAGCCTACATTGTTTGCTCACCCTGCCCTAGTGTCTATTGCCCGACCTTCGTCGAGGGCTGCCTTAGTTGAATCTACGACTGTGGCTATTCGCACGGAGGCTACCCCTCGAACTAGGGTTCCAACCTTTGTTACTTACTCA